TACAACTACTTCTGTGCCAGTATCTCACACTGCTATCGTTATCCTGTTTTATGACTTCCTCAAATACTGATGTTATTTAGAAAAAGTAACCGCCACTGAACTCTTCTGGGCCAAAATTCAAAATTCATGTCTTAGTCTCTTTGAGTATGTAATTTAATTTAAGGTTCACTAAAACACTTTTAATGGGAGTAATAAAGGAAACTGAATTTTAAAGAAATTTCTGGAAGTTTTTGCCAGTTGAACAGAAATACACTCATACGCATCTAAAACGTCTAACAGAGAAAACATAAGCATGACAGGTTACCTGGTTGCAAAATCTAGCATCATCCTCCCTTAAATAGGACTTCAGGCTAAGATTTCCACATGTCATGTTTGTTAAGTTTTTAAACAAGCTTAGGAAAGTATCTCCCAGAAGGAGGGGATACTGCCCTGTATCTAAGAGAATATAGGAGCACTCTGAACTGCAGAATGCAGGAAGGAATATGCAGCAGAAAGAGAAAAGAGTCCTTTGATAAACTGAAAAGCTTTTAATGAAACTTCCTGACATTATCATATAATAAATATTTTAATTAGGAAGTCATAAAGCTTGTATCGACTTGGGAGTAAGGGGGGCAAAATAAACAGATTGGCAACCACTGAGCTGTGGGAATTACATGATAAGCTGCTACTAAAAATCAGTGGAAAAAGGGGTGTACCTTCCACAGATTGCATTTTTCCTCAACAATAATTTCATAGGCTGGGTACATAGTTTTTTTCTCTGAAATCAATTAATCCAGAAATCTCTTTTCCTCTGACCTTAGTCCATGTGCAGAACTGCACGAGAGCAGGAGATGAGCTTTGAATTTTCCCAGAGCATGATTCTATTATCCCTAGTATGCTCATAACATTTAATTTCCAGTTCCTAAACCGTAAATACTAGTTTGGATTCTTACAAAGGCTAAGTGATTTTAAACAGTCCTACAGCTCCTGACCTTTAACGTGTCTGTTGCTGTAAGGTAGGTTTTCCCTTTGTGTGGTTTTCCCCACCTCTACAGATTTGAAGTTAAAATCCATTTCTCCTGCGAACGACAGCCTACCCACAATCATAAACAAATTACGCTCTCTGTGTCAACATTTGAAACCAAGTCACTAAATCATAGCGTGCTGGGATGGAATTGCTGCCCCTATCATCTACCACTTACTGCTATCAAAGCATATAACCGGATTAGTGGGAAAACAGCTGTATTACTCATACATTTAAGCTCTTTCAAACAGCAGGTTTTCTTTCTGCAACAAAACACAGCACTTCAGATAAGAAAAATGCAAATCCCAGAGGAAATCATGACATATTAACCCCTGGCAGTCTTTACATGACTTAATAGTTCGCTCAACCTCTTTTTGCTGGAAATAAATGCAAGAACTATATTAAATCAGTAAAACCAATGTATTTTAACACATATACTTTGAAACTTTTTGTTCCCTAGGATTTCTTCATATACCAGGCACAGTTGATTAAATCATCCTGTCACCTTCTAGATGTGATTGGCATGAGCTTAAATCCATGTCTCTCAGTTGTGGGCATGAATCATCATACATATGGGTTTTGTGGGACAACATCTTGGCAGAGGTTAGCAGCAAAATAGCTGTCTAGTTAACTCAAAACCTCATTGCTAAGCACTCTATCGTTATTAAAGCTAACAAGCCATAAAACAACTGTTGCTTTCTTGGCCAAAATATCTAGGAGGGAAAGAAAAATTGTAGATATCTTCCAGCTATTGCTAGTGTTCTTATATCTATTCACTAATATTGTATTAACTGAAAATTTTCACCTAGCTTTTGGGACTTTTTAATTAGCCAATGATGTCTAATACCAGGATGCTTCAAGAGAAAATGTCCTTAAGCAGTAACATGAAACATACTGAATAAATCTACATTTCTTTCACCTATTACAAAATGTTTCACTTGATATTTTGGAGTTTGGATTTATTAAGAAAGCACTGGAGTTGTACTTGATTTAGACATACGTTCTTTGTTATGGAATATTCTGTGAAGAATAATGATCATAGAATCATAGAATCATTTAGTTTGGAAAAGGCCTTTAAGAACATCAAGTCCAACCTTTAACCTAACACTTCCAAGTCCACCACTAAACCATGTCCCCAAGTGCCACAACTACATGACTTTCAAATACCTCCAGAGATGGTATCGTCTTTGTGGCCTTTCTCTGGACCCTCTCCAGCCTGTCCATATCTTTTTTGTATAGCAGGGACTAAAACTGTACACACTATTCCAGGTGTGGCCTGACAAGCACTGAGTAGAGTGGGATAATGACTTTTTTATCTCTGCTGGTGATGCCCTTGTTGATGCAACCCAGCATTCTATTGACCTTCTTGGCTGCAGCAGCGCACTGCTCAATCCTGTTGAGCTTCCTGTCCACGAGGACCCCCAGGCCCCTTTCCACAGAGTTGCTCCCTAGCTGGGTAGACCCCAGCCCATGCTGCACTCCTGGACTGTGCTTTCCCAAGTGCAAGACCTTACACTTGTCCTTGTTGAACTTCGTAAGATTCTTGTTAGCCCACTCTTTCAGCCTATCCAGACCTTCCTGCAGGGTGGCTCTCCCTTCCAATGTCTTCTCACTTCCCTTGCTTAAAAAATGCCTCATAGTAGTACAACCATTTGTTTCCTATCTATAGCATATGATTCCCTTTCTGTTAGAGAAATAAAATGTCAGAATACAATGTCTTCCACAGTTCCAATATGTTAAATCATCTAAACACATGAAAACATAGGTTATACATAAGTAATTGCAATACTGAAAGGATCTAATATGGACTTTTAAATGGTAAGTGCAACACTAAATAGCACTTTATAAAAGATTTAGAGATGTCATGTTCTGTTATGTGTATTTTTGTGTAAATCAGGAGGTAGTGGGGGTCCAGATCTTCCAAAGGCAAAACCTGGCACAGGTCCACTGAACACAGTAATCAATTTCCAGCAGTTAAGGATTAGATTATTTTTTTTTTTAACCAGTGAACTTAACAACAAGATTTTATCTCTCTAATGTCATTACAGAAAAGCTTATTTCCTTTAATAATAACAATTAAAAAATTAGTTTCTTTTTTTTTTCACTGTAATTGAGACTAATCCACTATTAAAAACTTTAATGAAGGAAATGCCATTGCGAATAAAAGCTTCTCTCTACTACTTGGAGAAAGGTCTAGCTAGACTGACAGCAAATGATGCAGCAATAAGTGGTGTTCAAAGAGATTTCTGATAGTGATATTTCAGGTCTTTCTCCCTGCAGGCTGGCTACAATGCATCTGTAGAAGTTGAAAATTGCTTCCAAAATCATTCCAGAGTTACTCACCACACAGGCTGTCTCTTGTCATTAAGAGTATGTCAATGTTCCCATGCTAAAGCCTTAGAATCAAAGCTCTACAGTTCAACAGCTTAATAAAAAACAAAAAAGCCTTGCCCAAGGCTACAGCATGACATCCAAGGTATCAGCCTGAAAACTGAAAGATGCTCATACCATCTTCCTCCTCCCCAAATTGATTTTATTTTGCCTTCAGCTTTCTTGAAAACCAGGAATTTGCACTTTAAATTCCAGGCAAGTACTAGAAAGACCAAAATGTCATTCAAAAAAAACCCGAAAACTATTTTAAATAACTATATAAAAACTCTATTATATTAATCCAGAAGTTTTTAGTCTGGTAGTCAAGTCTGAAGTGTAAAAATTACATGTAATACTAAAGTTTCAGATCATATTCTGAAAGACCTCAGCTGCTGAAAAGCCAGCCTCAAAAAAGCCAGCTTCTCCTTCATCTGGCAGTCCTTACAATCCTACCCTCCTAAGAACCCTCTGACCTGCACATCCTATATGCTGTCTCTGTATGCATAAATTAAGTGCATTTTTAAGTTCCTTCACGGATTCTCCCCTCTGTTACATTACTTATTATGGGAACAATTGCTTTGCTACCCATCAAATTGCTAACTGTAGAACTTCTAAGGAACACCTCTTTGGCAGGTCGGATGTATGGCTGTACATCTTCTGTCATCATGCATCAATTAACACAAGCAACCCAAATACAAACTATACAAAAAAGATGTGGACAGGCTGGAGGGGGTCCAGAGAAGGGCCACCAAGATGATCAGAGGACTGGGAAGGCTGCCATATGAGGACAGGCTGAGAGAACTGGGTTTGTTCAGCCTTGAGAAAAGGAGGCTCAGAGGGGATTTTATCATCGTGTACCAGTATTTAAAGCAGTATTTAAAGGGTGGCTAAAAAGAAGATGGAGACTCCCTTTTCACAAGGAGTCAAACAGAAAAGTCGAGGGGCAATGGGTACAAGTTAATCCTGAGAAGAATTGGACATGAGAGGGAAATTTTTCAAAATGAGAACAGTCAACCAGTGGAATAATGTCCACAGGGAAGTGGTTGATTCCACCACACTGGACACTTTCAAGACTCAGCTGGGCAGGGTGCTAGGCCATCTTGTCTAGACTGTGCTCTTACCTAGAAAGGCTGGACCAGATGATCGTTGAGGTCCCTTCCAACCTAGTACTCTATGATTCTATGAAATGTCTGCTATTTGGAAGAAGGAACTTCCCCCTACCTTCTCTGTATCATTTTATCTCACACCACAATATAAAACCTGAGAACCACCAATTATTTCAAGAGAATTTGTATATACCGGTCAAATAGAAGATGTGTTACACAGACAAGAATAATATATTGGAAAGGAGAATTTGGCTACACAGAAGTGTGTTTATATGACTTTTGCTTTACCTCCTTCGTTGTTTACTGTAGCTAATTACCCCTTCACTCAAACGTATAGATAGCAACAAATCTAGGACTTTCATTATACTTCACAAGAAAATAGTAAGTCAAATGTGGTATTTTGCAATGTGTTTTAAGTCCCTTAGCAGCTTAACATTCAAGTATTTAATGTATTGCATTAAAAATACTTTTCTTATGGCTTTGTTGACAATGCAAATTTTGTGGGAAGCAGAGATACTCACTGAAACTACATTCACAAAGTCATCGTCAGACAGTGTCTCTAACATCTCAATGACCGAAGTGCGGATCAGCTTCAATGTCAATCCACTGACACTCCCACTCCTAAATCCACAAGATAATAGAAAAGTTGAATTTAACAAATTTTATTTAAAACGTACAAAGAAAATACAGAATACCAACCAGCACTCTCACCAACTTTCATACTAAAATTGTCAATCGTTATCCCAAATTCTCCAACTCACCATTAGTGTTATTTCATTATTATAATAAAAAATTAAATCTAAAACTGGCATTCAGAGCCCCAGTCCTGTGGCTCAGATGAAGTCATGATGGTACATCATTTCCTTATTTTCATTTAAAGAAAACTGAGAGTTTACCACCTTCAAACAATGCATTATCTAAATATTTTATACTCCTACACATAGATTTACAGCTTTAGATTTTCAGATACCCAGATGACAGCTTGTTTGATTCAAGGAAAAAACTAAGCTGAAGTGCAGAAATAACAAATGTTGATAAAACTCACTGCAGATATGAAAGCACTTCACCACATTTAAAAGCATTAAATGCAAATTCTCTGAGAATTTTTTTAGCATAAAGAAATCTGTTTGACACATCAGGTTCAATGCTTCCTTTAGTCCCTCAACATTCGCTAAACAAAGGAAGCTTTGCCAAGGCAAAGAAAAAAAATTTTATGAATTTCTTTGCTCACTTTCTACTAATGTTTTATAGTAACGAAACCTGGCAATTTTTAAATATGTATGGTAAAACAGGTGAAGTCTGCATACACTCTCACCTTTCAGGTTCATGAAATCATGATTAAATCTACAGTAATGCTTCCAGTAATTTGTTTTTAGGTTTGTATTTTATAACAAATCTTGCAATGCACATGAGAAATTTTGAAAATGATTACTTCAGTAAATAAGAAGCTGAAAGCAGAATAACATTAAAGTGATTAAAAAACACTTCCTTGTGCCCAGTTTAAATAACTTTCAGGTTTGGTTTGTGCTTTTTTGAACTATTTTTTTCTGTGTATTTATTTTGTTCATACCAAGATTTTCATTCCTTGCATATAAGGACTTGATAATCCTCTCCCTTTTCCAGCATTTTCAATATATCTAAGTAGTTTTATCCCTCTAATGTCAATATCCAGACATTAAACACTTACGCATCAACTAAAATAAGCATGTCTTTGGGAGATGCAGCTCCTTGGATATACCTGAAATGAATAAAGGGTATGAATGACTCAAATTTGAAAACAAATTTTTTGCATGTGGTGGAAGACACCCTGTGATCTTTAAACTAAATCTAATTGAACCAACATAGTCCTCCAGTTGTAGCTAGTAGAAAACCATGTGCTATCATTTTCTCTCTTGCTGTGTCTTCTAATTAAACCAAAGTCCCAACTGCATTAGGAAAGCCTTGAAGTAGGATACACTGATCAGAATTCACTATTTTCAGATCTTGATAACTGAAAAACATGAATGCTATTTCAGAGCTAAAGATCTTGATGACAGATGAATTATTACATCAGCCCAGCTTAGGGAAAAATATTTTGTCCTTTGAAAGAATATATTCTAGTAGCATGAATCCAATTATCAATATGCATTATGCCTCAAGAGGCTTACAGAAAAAAATAATGAGGAACAAGCCCACTGTTCTGTCTTTTCTAGTCTAGTGATTTTTTTGGTAGTCTAAACTGCTGAGACATATTTGTAAACACCTGTAAAAGTTTGGAAGAATGACTCAATCTAATAATCTGAATTACATTTGATTTTGCAAAAAATCAAAGTTTTTAATTGCCTTATACCTATTTGATAGTTATCCTAAGAAAAGGTCCATGTAATGCAACAGTACGACACACTATAGTAGATATTGAATAAAAACCAGTATGATTTAAAAATTGTTTATTCAGAAGAATTAACTGATTTCACAAAATGAAAATAGCAATACCCAATTAGATATAAATAATCAGAAAAAATTATCTTTATAATCATATCTAGAAAGTAACTGATATATATACATCAGTCCTTTAAAGGAAGCTTACCATGGTCTTCTGCGAACATCATAGAGATCTATTTTGTTTGGAGTTCGACTTTTATCTACCCATGGGGAAGCTAAAAAGGAAAAAAAAAAAGTACAAAATAAATTAAAAACTTTACGTTAAGTATTTTAAATACAACAGCCTAATGAATCAATACCACAGACTTCCCACTATATAAATATCAACATTTGGTAAGGATAAAATATGTCTGAATTTTGTAACCTGTTTTCAAAATACCTGTATATTCCTATATATATGAGTATATAATATAATGCAATGAAACTATATATAGGTAAAGACCTTAAAGGGTCAAACTGTGTTGAAGAAACAGTTACTGACTATAATTGACTACTGACTTAAATGGAACCAGAATTTCAATCAAAGTACTTCATAATATGAAATAACTTTTTTGGACAAGAAAGTACTTAATTTTAAAAACACTTATTAATTAATTAATGTTGTATACAACAATACTGTACTAACCTAAAGCACAGCAACACATCTAAGAAATTATTCACTGACTCAGGAGAGCTTCACCTAAAGCTGCAAATTAGAAAATTAACGTGAAAGTATTGTATTTTCTAAAAATAAAATGAGATGGAAATATTTGTGTCTCTGTAAAGAAAAACGTTAAGATTAATAACCCATTACAAACATTTAATCTAAGCTTTACCATAATTTTAAGCAAGGGTAGGCATCTTTTCCTTACTGAAAAACAAAATGAGCCTTTCAAAACCATTTGACAGCTTAACGAACACAAATAAAAATGTGAAGAGTTACATGCAATGAAATAATGTTCTGCAATTTGCTCTCTCACTGTATGTCAACAGCATTGGGAGAGCTATTTCCTGACATTAATCATTCTTCTGTATAGGAAATAAAGTAAGGTACAGGCAGCTCCAGGATTCTTCCTGAAAAAGCATTCATCTAAGACAAATGGGAAGAATTATGATATCTTTATCCATGAATATGAAAGAAGCCACCAGCTTAGAGTAGCTGCCTGTTTTTTATTTTACTAAATGAACCTTTTCCTAAGTGACCAGAACCTGAGCTGGCACATAAGTTACCAGAACATTTAATAGCGTAATCCACAGGACATTTATCAGTAGACATTTAGCAGCCACAGAAAACACTGCATATTGTTGCAGAAGAATCTCAAACTCTATACCAGTATTGTATATGATCTCAGACTAGACCACCTGACAGGTCTTTTGCGAACTGAAGGGATAAGAGTTTTTGAAATTTCCAGAAATGAGTGAAAAGAATTTTTGAGACTGGTATATGTCAAGTTTGTAGCTTAAGTATCATTATGTAGGTATGCACAGGTTAAATACACCTGTATTTCATGAGCCTGAAGCCATGGTTAGCACATGTTCAATCATGGACTTTTTGTGTCTGTCCAGACTAACGCATCCATTAGAATTCCATCTGAAAATCCATCCTTGAAATACATTCCCTGAGACTTGCAAAATCTGCATCCAATGTACTTACTTCAGTTTGTGTTATGAGTAGTTTAGATAAAATAGCAAACATAAATCAAAAAAATTTGCCCAAAATTTCAGTCTTCCCACTAACATCCAATCAAAGGCTGTGCCTTAATCAACCCATATCTTGGACAGTCTTCATAAACTGAGAATTATCTGAATGTATGCATCTAGATTTTTTTCAAAACAACCAATAAAATGAAATTTACACTGCTAGTGTGACAGTAGCTCTTAGAAATCTCCATTAAGAAGAGATTTTTTTTTTTAATGGCATGTTTTTCATATAAAAGATTGAGCCCAACTCCTTAACTGCATTCTCCAAAGCAAATGGATGCTGATTCAAAGAGAACACAGGAGCTGAAGAAGAGTGCTTCTGACATCATCGTATTTTGCTATAACAGCGGATACTGACATAGGTATTAATTTAAAATTGAATCAGTTTTCAGAAGGCTCACAAAATAATAGACTAGCTCCACAGCTAACATAAATTATCTACTGAAAACCATCACATGAACATTTAGTTACAATTTATCTATCATAACCTTCAAGACGATAGTGTATTTTACTTCACATACTATTTTGAACTACAATCTAACATTTCTAAATTCTGACCTAAAATTTACAGAAATATGTGTTAAGATTACAGGTTGTCTGTGTAACAGAAAGACAATACCAGAAATAATCCAGCTACATTTTTCTGCAAAATATGAGATGTATATTCATGGCATTCCTCCTGAGAAGTAATCACATGATTTCCTTGAGGTCAACACCAGTTGCCTAGACAGAACACACTTCAGAATTGGGTCCTTTAGACCAAATATAGTGTGGCAAATCTTTCACAAACATGAAGTGGAAAAATTAATACTAACTTAAAATTGTGAGGAAACACCAAATAAAAAAAAAATGTGATATGCCTGAAACTTTCCCTAATATTTCCAAAAGCACCAAAAGGCTCTATATAACAAAAGCTGGGATTTTTTAACTGGAATACAAATCAGAACAATGCTTTTAAATTTTTTTCTTTTTTTTTTTTTCCCCTCTGTGGAGAGAATGCTCAGAACTTCTGATTGAGACAGAATAAAACAAAGGATATGAAAACAAATCTTTCCAAATCCCTCTTCAGAGGAGGTCCTTCTGTCAAGACTGGAGCAGCTAAGCCTTGCACTGAGTTCCACCACAGTTTTGCAGTAGCTTCCTGGATTGCAACAAAGTTCAAACTGTCCCCTTCTGGCTACATCTATATTAGTAAGTTAAAAGCACAATGGAAGGGAAGACATTCACCATAACTAGGTGATGAACCTTACAATGCCCCAGTTATACCCTTAGCCCACAAAAGAAATTGTGAATGAACAACTCAGCACACTACTTACATCCTATCTATTCCTTTTGGAGATTACTGTGAATGATAACACAGTTTTTCATTTTGGGAGACAGATTGAGTGGTGAACACAATGGCTAAATTCTGCAACTTCTCTTTCACTAGCTTGGTCCTTTCAGTATGCATAGTCCTGGAAAGTTTGTCAGCAGCTTCAGAGAGATCTGGAGAAGGTTTTTAAAAACATTATTTCTTACCATGCCATAAAATGGGTATTTTCTGTACCACATGTCAAAACGTTTCTTTTTTCTAATGAATATATAACCTTTTGTTGAGACAAACCCCAAGCACATGTGAAGAAATTTTTCTGGATTTATTCTGTGACTACAAAATTTTTCATCATATATTAATGAGTTCTGGATCATACAAACGCTAATTAAGAAATACAGTGTTTACTGAGAAAACTAGTTCTGTTGATCTTCATGATGTTTTCTACAACATTTTATATAATCTAGTAGTAAGTCTCTGCATGGCAAAACATAAATCCATTAGTATCTAAAATTTCATTCACACCAAAGAAGTGCTGAATTCCCTCTTCAACCTCAAGAATTAACATGACTAAATTACTCATTCGTTCTAAGATCTCTCTGGATTAACACTTTTAATTTTAGATGGCTTTGAATGGTCTCAAATCTGTTCACTGGTTTTGGTAACAGTCTGAGTATTTAAGGATCTTATTGAAATTGTTATTACTAGGAAACTGCAATTCCCTTAGGACAATCGATCTCCAATGATCTAATTTTAATTTACCCTGATTTCATCTTTTAAAAAAATATTTTTTTAAAAGATGATAAATGCTCTCTATGAAAAAATAAGTAATTATGCATTTATAATTATATAGGAAATAACTGAAGGGATGGAAACCACTGAAAAAGATATGCATTGCCTTGGTCCATATACAGAACATGCTATAAAGCCATCTGGGGAAACTGGCTTACATCTTACTGACAAAAGCCATTATATGGTCTGAGATGAAAACAAAATAAATTACATGAAAAGATGGTCACATATTTTCCTAAAAATCTAAAATTTTCGAGGATTTTAAGATTTACAGCTGTAGTTATATAACCTATTGTTTAAAACATGCATTTTAATCTTGCCTTGGAACCTGGCTCACCAAACATCCTGAAGAAGACAGTCTCACCGTGTTTCATTGCTGCATACTGTCTTTGAACAATGTCAACACCACACGGTTCTCTGTTGCATACATTAGGCTTTAGTCATGTTCTCCTTTGATGATTTGCTTGTTTGGCATATGGTTAGATCTGATATTTTATAAGCTATTCATTGGATTTGATATCCCTCCCACTTCTGCTGTTTGCATTATGGAGATATAGGCCTGGCTATATTTCAAGCAAGAGTAAGGCATGCTCTTCTGTTATTTCTGCCTATGTAGGGTGGAAATCCTCAGTTTTGTTGATTACACACAAAATCAATTCATGCAGTACAGAGGTTTTCACGTGGTAAAGCCTAAATGGAAGTATTCCTCAGGAAAGGGAAATCTTGGATACATCTGCCCACTTTTAATTCACAAGATGATTCCAGAAGCATAGGTGAGTGTCATGGGGGAGACCTTCCTGAAAGTC